CGGAGAGCTTTAGCTGGCAGAGATTACCAATAAAGTCATGCAGCGGATCAGTTTTTGTTTCGAACAGGGATGTAATATAACCTGACGTGTAAGTACCTGATTAATTGTACCTCATTACTATTACAACTGCTTAAGGATTTTGTTTAATTGTAGTCAAGTGCTATTGAAACTCATTACTTATTCAGCTACATTTCTAAGGAAAGTTTTTGTTTCCAATTTGACTTATTTTTTATTTTATTTAGAACAGTCAATGAAATGCATTTGAATGCAAAATATAATTGTCATTCACTTTATTTTAACATAAAGCAAATCATTTTAATCAATTTATTCCAAATTATTCCCAGTTAATTTACCTGGATAGCCCAATAAACGGTTCCTCAACTGCATGCCTTTTATTTTTTAATTTTTTAAAGATCATTACTAAGGTCATGACTTTGAAAAAATAGTGATTTAAGTAGGTTACTTTGCATAGTTTAGTGCTTCAGATTTACTCGGTTGTCTTTGGTCAGTTTCAGACTTATTTTAGTATTATTTTTATTAAATAATTATTTAATTTATTAATACTATTATTACTTTTTTGAATTATCGTTTAGCTTTTATATTTTCAGATTTTATTTTCATTTGAGTATACGTTTTAATAATTTGTTATGTGCTTTAATTTTTATTAGTTAATTTTTAATATTTATATATAGCTTTTATTTTATTTAGGTTTTGTTTATTTTATTACCTCATTAGCTACTTAATTACTTAAATATATTTTATTTCAGTTGTTTGCCAAGGCAACATTTTGAATTTTAAATTGAGTTTGTTTAGATTAAAAAAAAAATCTATTTTGTTTTATTTTAGTTTTATATCACGTACTGAAAATAGTTAGTTTGAGTAAACAATAAAAACAATGGTTTCATATTGTATGGACAGTATATTTTAGTTTTGTACTTGAAGTAAAATTCAGAATGAGTTGCATTAGTTCTCTTCTCTTCTCTGTTATGTAAGTGTGTCTCCCACCACTGTACTCGTGGGAGCTCTATGACTCAAACGTGTCCTTGTTTGAGGTCCCAGTGTAGCTCCAGGCCACTCTGTTTGGCTTTGTGATCAACCTGTTGCATTTACTTTGGTGTGTTCAGTCACTATCGGTTTGATTTGAATAAGCCTGTACTTGAGTGAATTGTAATCCTTTCCTGTTTGTGTTTCCTCCACATTCTCCAGGTTTCTTTATTTCAGGGTTCTGAGGGAAGAGCTGTCAAGTTCTGAGCCTACAGTCATCTGAATTTCCAGTGTTGAAGAATATGCATCATTAAATGCGAAGTAAATCGTCTCTGGGCAGTGCCACACGCAGAATGATGTGTTTGCTTCGTCCAGTCATGCGCCAATGGAAATGAAAAACTTTATAATGTCACCTGTCTTATTTATGGACCCATTCCACCTCATGCTCTGGAGACTTTGACCCTAAAAGTGCCGGAGAAAGCTGCCTTTTTGGGGTGTCCACTTTTCTTTCCCAATTTATTTATTTTCTTCATAAAAACAAACCACTTTTTCATTTTGTAAAAATGGGCCCTTTTATATCTCCTTTCAATAATCTGCTGTGCATGCTGTTGGGCATCTCTTTCACTGTCTGGTTCACGCTGCTCTTGGTCTTCATCATTGTTCCTGCCATTTTCGGTCTGTCCTTCGGTATCCGCGGCCTCTACATGAAGACGCTGCTCAAGGTGTTTAAGGTGAGTTGAAGGTCATCTTGCTCTCTTTCAGGATGCTGTTGTTCAGACTGATTTATTTGTGGCCTTGCATTTGTTTACTGAATAGCATAGAGTTGACAGGAAGGTTGGAGTGAGAGAGATGAATAACCAGTCGTTCAGTCAAATTAAATCAGTAGTTTTAAATGCGATAAATGAATTTAGGCATTACAACATTGTAATGTACAGTAAGAAAAATGTATGTATCTGTTATGATATTTGCAAAATATTACATTAAACTGTTATTACATGACAAAAATGTTTTAAAGTTTTAAAATCGAAATGTAAACATTAAAGGGGTCATATGATGTTGCTAAAAAGAACATTATT